TTAGTCATGTTATTACTATTTAAAACAGACCTTAAGTGTGAATTTAAGTTTATATATGATACACACGGGCAAATTAAAACCAGTTTGAAGCCTAGAAAGGCAAAATAAAATGATATATAGTTGTAAAAATGTGACATAAACATCTACATAATTTTTTTTCATGAGTGATTTAAGCTTATACTATAATTATCAGACTAATCTCATAGTAATATAACAATTCTAGCTTTATTATTAAAAAAAAAATCTCTTCGTTGCATAAGTCAGTCCTGTGGCAGGTTGCACGTAATACATTACTGCAATGCTATACATTGTACCATCTTATTTTTGGTTATCCTCTCTGTCCTTTTAAGTCAAATGGGTGGCTATACCTAGTGTTTGAAACTACTTGAGTTCTGTTTCATTTTTCCATGCTTAGGTCAAACTCTTTTTTAAAAACTTGAAATCAAAGCTTCTGATCAGTACTGTCTATTCAGAATTGTCATTACTAAAATTAAGAGAACTAAATCTTCCTTGTAAACATCCTGCTTTACCCTCTCCCCCGAGAACAGCATTATTTTCTTACAGACAGCATAGGCTATTAAGAATAGCTTTCATTTTTGCTGTATCCCATCTACTTTTAGTTGTAATAATCACACTTGGGCAGAAATGAGGAAACTGAATGAGGGACTTGGAAAATACCATTTGCAAATAAGCATCTCTTCATCAGAAAAAGGACACAGAACAAATCTGGAGAGCAGAACAGTTGCTGCTGAGGGTATTGCATTCACATCACCTTCTTTTAGTAGGTTATGTTTCAGAATAACTCCAGTCTAATCCTACGGACTGACTGCTCATGTGCAGCACACACTGAGTCCAAAGAGACTCTGGTCTCATACCAACCAGCTCCAGCCCCCATGGTCCAGGAATCTCTGCAGTAAGAACCAAGTGAAAGCAGCATGGCTGGGAAACTTACCCCCCAAAAGGTTCTTCTGAGCTGCACCAAAATACTGTCACAGTTTCATCCATTGCCTTCAGCACAAGGACTTTCTGGAATCCTAACAGCACTCCCAGATCAAATTTAGGTATATGTACATAAACAGCTACTCTGAGGACTTATTAACTAGAATTCTCACTGAGTTAGAAGCTGCATTTCCTCCCTCTCCCCTCATTAACTTTTTATAATGCTTTTCCATGACTTTATTCAGAATAATTTACATATTTATACTATCTTAAAGTGAAGTACAATATTTACTTGGTTATCCTCTATCATATTTCATTTACTTCTCCTCATAGAGAGCTTTTTTCCCCTCTATAAAAAACATTTGGAAAGGGGGAAACCAGCAACAAATTAAGGAAGAATCAGGGTAGACAGGAAATGGGGTGGAAGGGGAAATGAATTGTCCTGAACTAAGTTTTCACTTTATACACTAACATAGTGTAAATAATATGAGTCAAAATTCACATTTAGAATGAGAATGATTATATCAATATCTGAGAAGTGTACAGTGCTGTCCATTTAGGAAAGGTAATAAAGACTATATACTATAGCTCAAAAGCAGGAACAGCCTACAGATTTACAGATGTGGGAGTCCAGTCATTCAAAAGTTCTTGACAAATTTTCATTTGGTGAACAAACATCAAAATGGAGGACTGCTATTCTTGAGTATGGAAAACAAGCATCCTACATAGAGTTTTTAGAAGAATTCAAAGATGGAAGACGGTTAGAGATCATCATTACTAATCATGGAACTTAAATTTTAGTCTAGGCCCAAACTGGTGACTCAGGACAACATTTATTAGTTCATAAGATTTCTGTTGGCAACCAAAGCCTACTAAATCTTCATTTAATTTGATGAAATTTTTTTAACAGTTTTAAAAATCTTGTTCTTGACAGCTCTCCAGTCAGTCAGAATACACTTTCCTTTTCTTTAGGTATTTAGTGTTACCATTTTTTAAAATTACCAGAACATAATTTTTTAACCAGTAGTTCTTTGGCTTGAAATATTTGAAAAGTCCAAGCTGAAAATAATAGTTGAATTAGGTCTGACTATTCAGCAGTGTTTAAACAAGCCATTATTGCAGGTTATTTTAAAGTCTACATACTTAATTCAATACATTTATAGTGTTTGACTGCACTTACAGAATGTATAACAATTTTGCATCAAGGTATGTGCTGAGACATACAAAAGAGTAGCCAACCAACACTTCAATTTTCTTGGTAAAAATCCCATTTTATTAATGGGTTCAGCAGTCCTTTCCTCAGAGGAATTATCATTGTCTTTAGACAGCACAATTAAAATTACAATTTTAATCTAAAAGCAGTACAGATTTGAAACAATATAGCTCCTCATAGAAAACTTCTATAACAACATGAATGCTGACAAAGCCTTTATCATCTTATGGAAAAAAGGCAGTACCCACCCACTCTGTGAACCTAGGACTGATATAATTTCATACAAAATATGGTAAAATGCAAGAAAGAGATGCACTCTCAAGCTAAAGTCTGAAGCAATTAGCTACAAAAAAAGGCACCTTTTTTGCTTTCTGTGCGTAGGATTTTAACAGCTATCTTGCTTTTTATTGCCTTGAGAAGGATGACATATGAAGGTGTTCAAAATAAGGCGATATGCATTTGTGCTGATTTTATGCATCAGCAAAAAAAAAAGGCACTCTCTGCACTTTCTTGATAAGAACAATTTCCCTGCCGATGGAGGAAGAAGGCAACCTTGTAGATCCAATAACAAACCAAAATCAAATGTATTTCATATACGTACCACTAGTATTTTTTAAAATACAAGATGTACAAGAATAGTTTCCTCCTTCACCTCATTTTTGTTTCAAGACTAGTCACAAATTAGAAAATGCAATTTATTATCTAAGAGACAGCCAAACAGCCATTGCATAAACTTTCATATATGTGTGTATATATACACATATATAATATATATATACACACACATAAACTGCTCTTTTTGTGAGAGATTGAAAGGCAAATTATAGCTGATACAATTTTTGATCAATTATCAACCTTTTCTAAATAAGCATTAAACAGAATATGTTGCCATTATAAAAAACAGAATCCAGGCTCTTTTTGTATCCTTCAGTTTTTATTTTAAAATTACTTCTTAAATTAACATTCATCATATGTATGTCATTTTGTTCTATAATGCTGCCAGTTGCTGCAAACTACTAAAGCAGTCTTACAATATCCATATTAAAGTTGTATGTCATGTCCCACAAATCAACATCCTAATTCCAATGTGAAACTGCAGACTCATCCAAAACACGCAGAAAACTAAGCAGTGAGCTTGTTTGTTTATTTCTCTGTTTGTGACATTTGGTTAAGTGGCTCCACCTGCTGTTTTGATAACTAAGAAAATGAAGTATTATTAAAAAACAAACGAGTGCCAGAATTCTGACAGCAGTAAAAGAAATTATCAGTTGCGACATTGCCATTGTGTAAAATTTTTATGACAGACGTAAGTTTTTCAGACAGTATTTGAAAATACAACATTACATATTTACAAAAGAACTAGAATCATAGCCCACTTTTGGAAGTAGGGGGCAGAGAAGGACAAAAATCTCACTACTTAAATGTAGCACTAAGTAATTTCAGAAAAGCTGCTACACCTGCAACAGAAAGCTTTCCGTGGTTTCATTCATGATGACAAAAGTCTGGTGACCCGCTATACCTGTTCCCTGGTTGGTTTTTTTTTCCCTTACTTAATAGTTTGCATCTACTTGCACAGCATTTTTTAAGCTCTCTATTTACCCTGAATGTATTTAAGCTAAAAAATAAAAAAATAAAAAAAATTCTAGAGGCTTTGTAACTCACATTTCCAACAAATTGGCAGTCGTTACTTGTAAGAGCTCTGAAACACTTTTCCTCTGAATGTCAGGTTCTCAGTGACCAACACAGTTGGTTGAAAACTCAACTTCTACAAAGTTCAAGTTAACCTTTCACGCATTTCGCCACAGTGCTCCATGCCTGCAAATATGTTATAGATGTCCTGCTTGATCTGCTTTCCTCTCTCTCACAGGTGTGCAGGTAAGGGGGGAACAAGGACCCCCTGGTCCCCCAGGCCCTGTTGGACCAAGAGGACAACCAGGTCCTGCAGGAAAGCCAGGGTTTGGAAGTCCGGGTCCCCAAGGCCCCCCTGGTCCCCCAGGACCACCTGGATTCTCTGCAGTCGGAAAGCCAGGTGTGCCAGGTCTACCAGGAAAGCAAGGAGACAGAGGACTAAACGGTGAGAAAGGAGAACCTGGACCTGTTGGACTCCCAGGAGCAAGAGGACCACAAGGACCCCCTGGCACTCCCGGCCCCGCAGGACTGTCTGTTCCTGGCAAGCCAGGACCACAAGGCCCTCCAGGTGCTCAGGGGCCGAGGGGCCTCCCTGGTGAGAAGGGAGAGCCCGGTATCCCTGGTATAAACGGACAAAAGGGAGAAAATGGATTTGGCATTCCAGGCCGCCCAGGTAGCAGGGGTCTTCCTGGCCCACAGGGACCCCGGGGCCCCCCTGGTCCTACTGGAGTAGGGAAGCCTGGTGAAAATGGTCTTCCAGGTCAGCCAGGTCTGAAAGGTGACCGAGGTTTTCCAGGTGCACCCGGGGCGGCTGGTCTCCCTGGTCCCCAGGGTCTCCCAGGTGAACCTGGAGAAGCTGGCATTGGCAAGCCTGGGCCAATGGGACCACCAGGAGCAGCAGGCATCCCTGGAGCCAAGGGACATCCTGGACCTGCAGGCTTGCCTGGATCCCCAGGTCTTCCAGGTTTTGGAAAGCCAGGATTACCAGGGATGAAGGGACACAGAGGGCCTGAAGGTCCTCCTGGCCTTCCAGGACTTAAAGGAGACCAGGGCCCAGCTGGTGTGCCAGGAGAACCAGGGCCAGCTGGGCCACCAGGGAACATGGGCCCTCATGGACTCAAAGGTTTGCCCGGTGAGAATGGCCTCCCTGGGCCCAAAGGTGACATGGGCCCTGCAGGCCTCCCAGGATTCCCAGGGGCCAAGGGGGAACGAGGCTTACCAGGAGCAGAGGGAAAACCAGGATATCCAGGTGAGCAGGGTCTTGCTGGTCCTAAGGGACAGCCAGGTCTCCCAGGTCCAAAAGGTGACATTGGCCATGCCGGGCTACCTGGATTGCCTGGTCCAATGGGTCCACAAGGAGCCAAGGGAGTGCCAGGGATCAATGGAGAACCAGGCCCCAGAGGGCCTTCAGGAATACCTGGGATCAGAGGTCCCATTGGCCCCCCTGGTCTTCCAGGAACCCCTGGTGCTAAGGGTGAGCCAGGAGCACCAGGACTGCCAGGCCCAGCAGGTATTTCCACGAAAGGCTTAAGCGGACCCATGGGACCACCTGGACCCCCTGGGCCTAAAGGCAGCACTGGTGAGCCTGGCTTGCCAGGCCCCCCAGGGCCTCCCGGTCCCCCCGGCCAAGCTGTAATCCCACAGATGCCTGAAGGCTACGTTAAAGCAGGAGAGTCTCGGGAGCTATCAGGAATATCTTTCATAAAGGGAGGAGTGAACCAAGCTCTTACAGGGATGCCAGTGTCTGCTTTCAGTGTCATCCTCTCAAAAGCCTACCCTGCGGCAACAGTCCCCATCAAATTTGATAAAATCTTGTACAATAGGCAGCAACACTATGACCCCAGAACAGGAATCTTCACCTGCAGGACCCCTGGACTGTACTATTTCTCCTACCATGTACATGCAAAGGGAACAAACGTTTGGGTCGCACTCTACAAAAATGGTTCCCCCATCATGTACACCTATGATGAGTACAAGAAAGGATACCTTGACCAAGCTTCTGGCAGTGCTGTCATTGATCTCATGGAGAACGACCAAGTATGGCTCCAACTGCCCAATTCAGAATCCAATGGTCTCTACTCCTCTGACTATGTTCACTCTTCTTTCTCAGGTTTCCTGTTTGCTCATATCTAAAAACATACCACTTAGCCTGTCCTGACACACACTCCTTCAGACCATTGTAACTGGGTGCCGATTTGATTTATCATTAGCACTTTGTTGCAACTTCAATGTTGCAACAGTAATAGAGGAGGCAGTGAGGAGGTGGAGAGTGGTTCAAACCTGGTAGAATAATATTGTATGTTTTTAGACATTTGTCATAAAAATTTGTTTCAAATGATGATCAATTGTCTGACTAAATGCAACATTAAAATTTTATGAATTAATATAATGCACTAGCCTCTCTTTTTTCTTTTCTTTTAAAAGGAAAATCAGAATTTGTAACTATCACTTCTCATAACACATAAAGGATTCTAGATCATACTTCACTACACTTGAATTAACTGAAGGTATTTTATTCAAAGTAAATGGTCTCAAATACACTGCAGTCATCACAACAGCTGAATAATATACTTCAGGAACATTCTGTGGCCAGCTTCATCTTTAAGCTATCAAATGAGACTCAAGAATAACAACTCTAATACAGTGCACATCATGTCACAGTTTTCATTTAGTTACACTGTTCTTATTAATGAATAAGTACCTCGGGGAAAGGTAGATTTACAAATTATTACATATTACTGGAGATCTAAGACTTTCACAATACGAAAAAACAACCAGATTGAAACCCTGAAATCCACTTAGCTTTCTTTGATAAACATTGCTGCAACAAACTAGTTCAATATTTTTATATCTCCTAATATTCTGTAAAAATAGAATATTCAGAGTACTGTAAAATAACTCTCACAAAATCCAAATATTAAGAACATATCTTCACAAGCATGCAGACACATACAAAATCAAAGCAGATTTACCACTTCAAAATTGGAGATAATCCTTGCCCTGAATTTCCCTGAACTGTTAATTCCTTTAAAAAACAATAGTGTGGGGAATATATTTTACTTATTTGGTAAATTTATCAGACGATGGCAGTAATCAGTCAGCAGACATAACCATATTTACCATATCTACATACATTCATGTCTCATAAACATTAGACAGTTCATTAATGTGTTATGGTACTTCATAAAGAGTATATGGCATAAAGTAAGTTAGTTTATAAATTATGAAACCATTATAATTTGGTCGCACATTTCTTCCAATTACCAATTACCATTCATGTGCTTTAAAAGTATCATATACATCAAAACCTTATGAACTCTTAAAACTACTATAGTTAGCTTTGTTTTTTTTAAACAGAAGCTTTTAATCACCTGCACTAACAGTATGTAGGCCTGTGTTTAAAAATTTTGTGATATTACTATTTCTCCACGAAAGCAGAACTTAAAGCTTGTTATGTTGTGTACATTTGAAATCAGCAATTTCCTAAGTACTTGATAATATGCTGGGATTAATAAAAAAAGTTAAGATAACTTTTGCTTGATCCGTCATTAGCAAAGCTATGTAATGTTTTGGAAATTCTAAAAACCTACCAAAAAAGTAACTTGAAGAATTTTTTTTTCTCCTCTTATTAAGTGCTGCCGGATAAGGAAGACTGTGGTTTAGGCTATACTTTAGTAAAATAAATGCTTGAATAAAGAATGCAACATGACATCTACTTATTTTAGCAGTCAAGGGGGCGTAGGCAAGCAAATTAGTCCTACTTTTATAAACACTACACACAAATGTTTTTGTGGTAATAATACAAAGAACAGTATCACAGTTTATAAATTGCAACCATGCAACACTTTTCTTTCAAGCCAAAATAAAGCTCCAGACACTCGAGTCTGAATAGTCTATTCCCACTTTTCTAGCTTAATGTTTTAGGCCAAATATTAATTACAGATCTCTTAAGAATAATCTGTTTTTTGCACTAAAAATGTTTTCCTGTACAGTCACTCACATTAATTCAACAGCCCTTTCCAGTATTTTAACAGAGCATGTGTTACTGCCCATACATTCAACCAATGTGGAACTTTTGTTTCAGAAACAAATAGAGGGACGGGGTACAGCAGCTGGAAAATACGACTTAGTAGTTGTGAGGTTTCTGGTTAATTACTTTACATATGAAACATATGCCAATGAACATGTTTAAAATTGCTGGGAGATGTTTAGAGCTCATCATTACATTACTGTCCTGTGATTCCAATTGACTAACAGGTAACTGGGCCCAGACAATATTCTTAAAAGCACAGTTTACTAACCCTTATCATCCATCCACTTTAAATCAGGTTTTGTCCTTTAATATCTTTGTTCCTTGAACACATAGGATTTCAAATAAGTCTACAGTTTGGTACCATATGCCCGTTCTTTTTAAGTATTTTCATAATTGCTCAGATGTTGCGTCATTAAGATAGCAATTCTTAAAACTGAAAAGCTAGAGACTACACAGCAAATTGTGGCACAAGCAGAACTTATACTTTGATTTTAGATTTGTATTCTCAATTTAGAGGGTTCCTTGAGAAGGTCTGTAAGATCTCTTCTCTGTGGTGATCAGTGACAGGACCGGAGGGTATGGCCTGAAGTTGTGTTAGGGGAGGTTTAGGTTGAATATTAGAAAAGGGTTCTTTACCCAGAGGCTGTTTGGGCACTGGAACAAGCTCCCCAGGGAAGTGGTTACAGCACCAAGCCTCACAGTGTTCAAGAAGCATTTGGACAATTCTCTCAGGCACATGGTCTTGGGGATGGTCCTGTGCAGGGCCAGGAGTTGGACTCCATGATCCTTGTGGGTCCCTTCCAACATGGCAGATTCTGTGAAGACTTTTCAGTTTGAGTTTAATATTTTCTCCACATGAAGATCAGCAATCTACCTAAAGATAAAGCCCTTCCAGAAACCTCATCTCTTCTGGATCATGGGCAGTAGAGGAAAGAAAATCCAACATGAGATTAAAATGAAGACATAAGAGCCTGTAATAGTACAAAAATGACTTCCAAAGAAGTATTGAAATTCCTGAAGCCTTAAGTTGTCAAAAACATGAAGCAACCAAACAATCCCTTCTGTATTTAGCTGGAAAGCACAGCAAAGAAGTGCAATAAGTTTACTCGCTTCTTTGCTACAGTTTTCACAATTAAGACAAGCAATCACTGCTATATCAACATTAGGAATTACCAATGTTTTGCAGAATTTTTTGAGGATTCTTTCATTCTGGCCAGAAAGGCACCTTTGTTTTTTGTTTTCCATATTTGAAGTTGCATATAAAAGATAAAACACACATATCACAGACATCTAGATTCATTACCTTCTGCCAAGACCATAAATTTGTGATCAAAAATATGTGTATCCCATCAAGCCTTCTTATGCACAATTTATGAAGTCTGCTGCTATATCAGTCAAGATCTTTTTACTTCCCAAATGAAATAAATCTTATGAATGGATTGAAAATATTACAAATACATAATTTTAACTATATAACCACAGATGCTACAGTTTTCAGAAGTGTCAGGAAAATTATAGGGAAAGACAACTATGCAGGAGAGAAAAAGTAGCCTTTAAGATAAGAAATTTAAAAGAATCTGCTTTAAGAAGTTTTATGAGGCAACATTTGCCTAAAAGAAGCTATTGATTTTTCTGTCAAAAAAAATCATCAAATCTGAAATTTTTCAGGAGGAAATAATTCTACAGTACTTCAAGCTCTCATCAGTCCTCTGAAGAGCAAACTTTGTCTCCATAACATGTTGAGGACCTCAGTCCACATATCTTACTAGTACAAAACACATTGCCCCAAGACATTTCCTTTAAAACTGCTCTTTACTAATGTCTATGGAACATGCTCTAAATAAAACACATACAAGGTAACAGTAATCACCTTACAGTTGCAAAACATTCCAGTAATAAATTAAAGATTTATGAAACAGGTTCTCAAGTCAACTGGGATATCAATTGCAGAGGGCATTCTTGCAGGTATTACTAGGTAAGAAATGACCACACTGCAAATATGAATATCTGTGTTCATTGCTATCTGACATCACACTTTTCTGACAGTATTGTTCCATAGATTTTCTTTTTTTTTGAGCTATTTTTCAAAAAGGAATGTCTGAATAACACAAGATTATTTTGAAACCCTCTTAGTTTCCTTTTGCAAGCCTCAGCTCTTCACTTCTTTACAAGTAGAAGAGTGGGTTAATACACTTCATCAAGCTGAGTCAGCACAATCATGCCTATCTGAAAGAGCCATCCAAAAAAAATATCATAGGGCAATTATCTAAGGCAATTACCATAGCTAAGACAATGAAAAGCAAAATCTATCAAACACCTGATTATGATCAAAAAAATCATATGAAAAAGAGAAGGAACATAGAGAAACAAGGGCATACTGACAACAAATCAAAGTGAATTGCAAACACTTAGTGGATTTCAAAAAATAAAATGGTCAGTCGTTCTGCTCTGTCACTGACAATGGCACCACTAAGACGGCATTTCAAGCTGGGAACTTTGTGTCTCCTCAACTGACCACTTAGTAAGTTTGCTTTTGAAATTTTACCTTGACTAAGTGTTAATGAGCACCGCTTTTCTCCTAGGGGTTAAACCCTCTACAAAACATGGAGTTAAGTCAAAAGCCTGTGATTTTCAGGCCAGGCTCTGGGCTATAAAAGACAGTGGGGCTTCCTGGTATGTAGATCTTGGAGCTAGGTTTAGGCATTTCCTCAAGAAGTTATGTTAGGCATGCGATTGAGAAAAATAAAATCTCTGTTGCAGAAGCTTGTGATAGAAGATCAGTATGGTTATCCTCATTTCATAGAGAGGCCTGAAGCAAAAAAAGATGCTCCATGGGAATATCAGTGCTAAGTGATACAGGAAGAAATTATCTCTGGTTCTTCTAACTCCTTGTTCAGTGCTTTATCTACTGGTCCATGCTATTAAATGGAAAATAAAACCACTGTGAAGCCTTTCAAAGTGATGCATGACAGAGTGTATCACTTTCTTACATTACAATATTTGAATAGTGTATATAATCTGCATAGTTTCACTTCTTTATTGAGCTTTATCCAATAAAACTTGTGCCCATCAGTCACTATACTTTCCCATATTTTTAACACTCTTATGCA